TGTTATAACAGAATCGAGCATTGTCAGTACATGGATGTTTCACAAAAGAGATCTGCAAGCGCCTATGGTCATGACATCATCATATCGATCCCATGTTCTTCAGCTCTGTAACGAATATAAGAGCGTATAATTTGAGTGTCTGTTAGAATATCATCAATAAGCTTGTGCGGAAGAGGCAATGGACTAACGTTGCTCTAACTCAGGTTAATTTGGTTGTACGGTATAATTGATGTGATGTGCGGTGTTGAAAAGCGTCCTTGAAGAGGTTAGAGGGTGTTTCACCGTCTGTTTTAAATTGTTACCTTGGACCATTAACACATATATAGCCATGTTTTCTTAGCTGAAGATAGTATATAATGAATGAGGGTAATCGTTCCCTGTGGTTTTTGTTGGATTGTTGTTCTAGAGAACAGAAGGTTTTATAATGACAAACAGCTTTCGACCGAGCTTGTAGTCAGATTGTTATAATCCTTAAAAACAGCTGCTTCCGGATGTCCGCGCTTTGTCAGTTTTGACTGAATACCAATGCTTTGTCAGACAACGGTGTGAACTATCGTAGCCTTCATACTATATGATGTAACTGAGGAACTAAATACTCAGTATAATTCGTTTTACGTTCTATAAATTTCCCGCTTTCCGCCCTGAGTAGCTTGGTAATTAACAATTGGACTGGGTTATAGGAGATTCGCGTCCTAACTAATTTCTAAATCAAATGTAATGTAGGATTCACGGTAGCTATTCGTAAACATCGGGATAATATTTTGTCTATAAAATTTACTTTTCCTAACTGTACAAATCATACCATCCAAGGCATTAATCATTATATTCTTATATGGCCTAGTCCAAGCCAGGGTAGACTGAACTTAATTCGCTGTTCGGTTGGATGCATTATATTCCGGATTATCGTTGATCCTGCCCCTGTACCTAATCCTCCGCACTGTTTCCTGCAGGCTAGGGTTGGGTGGTCTTGTGGTAAAAGCAGATTACTGATCTGCACAGGTATCGTATCATTTTTGATCAGAACATGTTTCTGAATATCACGGATACGAGAACGATTCGTATATTAACTTGCAACATTTCAAGCCCGTGGACGGCCTATTTTTATCTAAACCGTAAATTTATCAGAAGAATATCTATCATAGTATACGTCTTTCATCTGACTTCTATTCATTATGTATGATTCATGAACGTTCGCGTATCTGGCGCCTATTAAGTCTACGGAACTGGGTGACAGACGAAAACGGAGTAAGATTGTCTCATCATCTAGCCTCCAGAGGGAATTATATTTATAATTGCTTTTTGAGCATTTCGCAGTCTCAGTTTAGACTGAAATATGGTAGATCATGTTGTGTTTACCTGTTTGCTTACAGTTTATGTCATATCGAGGTAATTGTCCATGCGGCTTATACACTGTCTGACTATAGTTTCAACAGACATCAGTCACTGCTTCTACGACTAATATCAGTGGTGTGAGTTGGTGCAGTGCATGATAATAAGAACCATCGTTGCCATGGTAGTATGTGATTACTTTTAATATCTTATCGATACAGTTTCATATGACAAGTTTTATATTCTAGTTCCTTTACTACCATTGTCACTTGTTGATTCATGCAGATTTTCTGTCATGTGCATATTGAAACCGAGTTGTTAACGCTTAACTGTGTTGCAGTCTTTTAACTGCTACAAAGCTGGATTTCGTGACGTTTTGTACTCCTGTAACCTTGCTCTTAGTTATCTCCAGAGCGGTTTAAGCAGAACGCTGCTCTATGGTCTTTGTGCTCTGCAGTGCTCGCTGCATCTTGCCTCATTGAATTAGGCTACAACTATGACGTTTCAAGAGCCCATACTCCTTAAACTTAAAATTACGGGCTCAGGCAGTACGCCGCAAAGTACTGATTTTAGAGGTGTTAAGCAGTTATGTATGCAGGACGTTTACTTTTGATGTTTATACAGTATTATGTACAGTTCCGCCTCCTAAAACACCGTTTATGATGAGGATCCTATTGGTCTAGCGCATTAACTGGCGTACTAGTAAACTTCTGT